TTTATCAGAATCAGAATACCAAAAAAAGGTTTTTATTCTGCTTCAAAGAAAGAAAACTTCGAACAAAGACATTCTTTTATACGATGCAATAACATTGTCTTCATAGCCTTCATATTTCAACATGAATACTCATATGTCAGCCATGAGTTTACAGATTATTTTCGGAATACATATACACTTTCGTTCATAGTGATAGGTGATGTATACACTTTCGTACATAGTGATACGCGATGTATACACTTTCGTACATAGTGATAGGCGATGTATACACTTTTGCACATAGTGATACGTAATGTATACGCTTTCGTACATAGTGATACGCGATGCATACACTTTCGTACATAGTGATACGTAATGTATACGCTTTCGTACATAGTGATACGTAATGTATACACTTTCGTACATAGTGATACGCGATGTATACACCTTCGTACATAGTGATACGTTATGTATACACTTTGTTCTACAGTGATACGTTATGTATCCACTTTGTTCTGCAGTGATACGCGATGTATATACTTTGTTCTATAGTGATACGCGATGTATACACTTTGTTCTGTAGTGATACGTTATGTATATACTTTGTTCTATAGTGATACGTTATGTATACACTTTGAGGTGTAGTATTCCATGCCGTATTCCATGTTACCATGTTGATATGTTGTATGGACTTTGTTCCATTGAAATACGTGATGCATTCACTTAGATTTATAATATTATCGGGGAGAAAAGTATACACTTAACCTCTGCTCATATGAATGCAATTACACTTAAACGTAAATTATAAAGGTATGTAAACTGTGGCTAAGGACGCAATTACATACGTACGTAAGCACATATGCCAGGTTGCATATCTGCACCTAATCAACCTAATCAAGAGGTTATACCTCGTGTGCAGCTTGCTCGTATGATTGCATAGCGAAATTACGTATGTGGGCAGTCAGACTGTGTTGAGCGGGGAAAGGGGGAACCTCTGCTGAAGACGTTAACACAATATTGTTGCTCCAACCTGGTGTTCGACATCCACAGGTTAACACACTCTGTTTATCTTCCTGTGAAACCCTTGGAGTTCTCAATAAAGGATCTTTCTGAGGCAAAATTGTCCACTGGCCAATATCCAAAATCTTGTTTTCACTTTGATATAGGCTAGCAGACCTTGCCACGAGAAGATGACGACAGATGCATCAAATGTTCCATTTGGACATTTTCAGTCCATTGCTGTTCGTTGAACTTACGAACCATCATGTTGTACCACTAAACTTTACTCCTCTCTCTTTTCGGTGTATTTGTCGTTTTCTACATAAGTCATATACAGATGATGAGATATGCAAAGCGTTAAAGAGATGTATAGAAAATATCGATGTTTTCTTTTAGGAAGAGTTAACCGCGTTTCTATGTTGGTTGGCAGATGTGAAATGGCATCTGTTCTGTCTTTGTTGAAAGTAGACGACACAATCACCAGCCCCAGCTCCCCAGAGCCCACCGCACAGCTCCTAACAAATCACAGCACCGGAGAATCCACTTCTCTGGAGTCAGAAAACTACCAATGCCTACCCTTCCTGGACGTGTTCCTTCAAACTAGAGCAGAGTACCACGAACCAACATACACAGACCACTACATCCACAACAAACACTGCTACTATCCCCAGATAAACAAGCCATTCACCCGACGAGGCAAATCTACTGGCCATTCGATGCCCTTGGGTGTGAACTGAACCATCTATAGACTTCCTCATCTCTCAACAGTTACCATGCACAATATTCCCCACAAACAAGACCCTCAAGTGCTCCCAGCACAGATTTAAACTTAGGCCTTCGCAGTCAAAACCAAGATCCTGTCAATCATCCGATTTCCTGCCTCATCAATAAAAACTATGATATCATTAGAACCATCAAGACCCATCTACGAGCCAATGACATGTGCGCCAGCAGCAAGCCAAGAAGATGCATACAAGACCCTCCACAAACCGTAAAGAAATGGATGAGTTCTCACATGCTCAAACTAAACCAGGACCGGACAGAAGTGATTCTATTTGGCCCTAAAAAAACTCATTAAAGCCTGTGGTGATATATGGACATCTGAACATAGAAGGTGCAGCCATTCAACCCTCAGAAACAGTACGAAAGCTTGGAGTTTGGCTGGACCAGCAGCTGATGATGAATCTCCACGTAACACGTGTATGTCAGACAGCTAATTACCATCTACGTTACATTGGAAAACTCAGGCCATATCTCAACAAAGATTCGACTGTCAAACTTACCGTTGCGATGATTCTATCCAGAATAGACTACTGCAATAGCCTCTTTGTTAATATCAGCAAAGACCAGATAGAAAGACTTCAAGCCATTCAGAACTCTGCTGCAAGAATTATCTTCAAATCTTCAACGTTTGACCATATAACGCCATTACTGAAAGACCTCCATTGGCTCCCTGTAGCTCCTCGCATAGACTTCAAAATTCTTCTGACTGCTTACAAGTGCTTCCACGATCTGGCTCCATCTTACCTGCAAGAACTTCTGCACACATACTCTCCATCTAGATCTCTTCGATCACAGCACAAGCATCTGTTCACAGTTCCAAAGTATAAGACAGTCACATTTGGTAAAAGATCCTTTGCCTACGCTGCCTCAACCTTATGGAATGAGCTGCCTGCATCCACAAAATGGTTGAAACCGTGCCTTCCTTCAAAAATAATCTAAAGACTTATCTCTTTCAAAAGACATTTCTTTAACAATCACCTTGTCTGAGAAGCGCACAGAGCATACTATTGTGTGAATAGATGCGCTGTAGAAATGCACATATTATTATTATGTTTTACAGATAAAAGATAGTATGCAGCAGAGAGGGTTCGGGTGATCCTGGCACAGTCAGGCTGGTAAGGCTCATCATCAGCTCAGGGTCCTCGCCCCCTCTACACGCAGCCCAGACAGCGAATGGGACTTCTCCCAGGAAACGCTGCCTAGTCGAACCCACCAAGAACTTTCCGGAGAATATGAAAGCTCCCCAACACTGCAGCCTTCTGCATTACCCAGGGTGTCAGAAGGGCTGTGTTCCCGGTGGAAACCCGGGCACTCTCTTGATCTGCGCCAAGAGTTCAGGAGGTACCAAACCAAGGGCACCGAGAACAATGGGGAGCCTGACGACAGTGTACTTGGGATGCAAGCGAGACATTTCAAAGGTGAGGTCTGCATATTTATCATGCTTTTCCTGAATCTTGCCAATGACATTTTTGTCAAAGGGACAGAAAATTCAATGATATAAATAAATTCATTGGCTTTATCAAAAAGGACAAGATCAGGTTTGTTGGCAGGAATTCTTCTGAGGCAGTATATGGGGCCTATTCCATAGAGGTTTGAAAGCATCATTTTCCATGACGCCCTGGACATGTTCAGGGTCGTACCATGGATGGACCCCGGAGTCAAAGCCACAGAAATAGCGGAGACGGTAGTAAAAGCAACGAGCCATGCCATCATGTCGTTTTAGATATGATGTTTGTGCCAAAGAAGGGCATCCACTGACAAGGTGTTGGACAGTCTCTGTGAATTCATTACAGACGCGACATTTCATTATTATTATTATCATTAAACAGGGAACATAACTGCCTAGTCCTCAGGACTTATTATTTAACTTACCTTATCTAGGCTATTAATCCGGCTAGATTCCATTTGCCTACTGTTGATAGTCAGTGCTGGTTACACCATATCGTGCTTTTGTTATAATATTATCTCCAGTTAGTGTTATCTCCAATTCCTGGCTCCCATGGTCATCGGGAGTACGGTGGGGTGGCTCAGTGGTTAAAGCGTTCGATCGTCACGCCGAAGAACCGGGTTCGATACAATGTGTGAAGTCCATTTATATAATATATAATACCCTGCCGTGATATTGCTGGAATATTGCTTATAGCGGCGTAAAACCCAACTCACTCACTCACCATTTGTCCGTCGCTATCACCAGTATCACACAGGGCTAAGTATTTTTTTGATTCCACTTTTGCTATTTCCTTGGTTTTTTTTGTTATTATATATACATTTAATATGTGCTCTGCTCTCGTCTCCGTTCACCCGATGAGGGAATAAACACATACTACGAAAGGAAACCTTTTGTTCCTCATAATATAGAAGTTGTATCATGTCCTTAAGGCATTCAAAGAGTTCATGAATATATTATGTTTTGTTGTCAAATACTGTGCCTTAATGCTCACTCTTTTACACACACGTGTGTGCGCACGCACGCACACACACATCAACATATATAAAAGTGCCCAGCTATATAGCCCGATATACGTGAAATATTGATTATGTTATGGTCCCTGTGCTGGCCCCACAAGTTCTAGTTGAGTCTTCAAAGAGAAATATATCGACCAAAAAAAAACATTCAAAGATTATGTTTCACAAACATAGCAAGTAGTAGTGGATAGCAATCTTATTGTTTTTAATTTTGTGTGTTTGTGTGTGTTTTCTTTGTCGTTCTTTGCTGTTTCAGACGTTGAAAGGTTATAGGTGTCGCGTATAATTGTGTTTTACGTTTTAAGTCATCGCTCGATCAATACATAAAAGGTCGAAGCGTTAACAAATATTATTTCTAGAAATAAGAGAAAGTTAAAAAAATACTGAATTAGCGTGTTACGTTAACAAAGAAACAATGTACATGAGAATCTTCTTTCGGGTACATTTTCTGAAATTACCTTTCTATGTTCTTAAAATTCACGATGTGAGCCTCACGACTGGTAAGATTGCAATGACCCAAGAGAAAATGCGAACGAACCTTTATAGAGTGCAATTAATGTTGTTTTTTAATTTAAGTAAATGTTTCAAGCTTAATAATTTCATTCAGAGCATTATTGTAAGGGTAGAGGATGAACGCTGTTTGATATATTTCGCCGCTGGCCAGACGTTGAGTCGATATATCATACAAAGCAGTCGGTGTTCACATGATTGTTGCGACGACGGAGTGCAGCTGCGTGCCGTGTTTTGATTGGATGGTGGCTGTATGACGTGTAGCGAAACTGCAAGATGGCGGACACCGGCATGGCTGTGAAAACAGACATTCGTTCTGCCATGTGGAACCCCGGTGGCTGGAAGAGTCTGCTCACTTTCTTCATCCTTGCACTTGCCTGGCTTGGTGGTTTTAGTTCTAGACTGTTCGCTGTCATTCGATTTGAAAGCATTATCCACGAGTTCGACCCATGGTGAGTTTTGCAAGGAAGCGTGCTTACCCATCTATCCTCAGTTATGTTTGTGATGCACAATTTGTAAACACTTCCGTCTTTGTGATTCATGTTTTTGCGTTCACACGAGTTCAAGCAGTTGCATTTATTCAATGAGAAGTGTTTTCAGGCATTAATTCAAGTGCTTAGATCTGACCGGGTTAAAAAAAGTTAATGTTCGAGAACGCCTGTACTTATCACCAACACTGCGACGAAGTGGACAATCAAATATTTAGTCACATTAATGAATTGCTTCAGATCACAGGACCCCTGACAGAACTTCCAGTGAATATGATAGGTCTTAATGTGCGATGTTATAGCACAGAAACCTCCACTGGTCCATGTGAATTCAGCATGTACCATACCAACAATGGGAAATCTGATATTAATTAGCAATTATTCATATTTCACCCTCATTTGGTCATCGTTTAATATAGTCTTTTCAATATTTTATAGAAAGTCTGCTAATGTATATTGGATTCGCAGAACACTTAGTCTCAATCTTATGCAAATCCTGTATTTGTAAACATATAGCATGTACTTCCTTGTCGCTAATTAACCATTTAGGAAAAATGTAGAATTAATTCATCGAAAGTGACTTTACATTCAAATAAAAAAATAAAATAGGAATGCAGTTTTTGAGCTTTATACCATTCAAGCTGTTAAGAATCGTGCAGAAATGGAGGACGGATACTGTAACCATAGTAACTAAGAATAAGATGGCTACTGCAGAGATGTACGTAGATATAACACTCATCCATGATCATTTTGTCTATAAAACAATCTAAATACAGATTGCAGTGTGCTACAGATTATATCATGCTCCAGATTATACCATGCACCAGATTATACCATGCTCAGACTCAATTACCTTATGTATATATATATTCTAACATCACAGGATTTAGCAGGAGATTCACATGTATTAAGTGTATTTTGGGTTACATATGTATTAAGTGTAAATCAACAACAGTGGAATAATCAATGCAAGTAAGCTTTATTTCACACCACCTTGCAGTGATTTTGTATCTATAGCACAGTCTGTGCCAAAAACGTGCGAGTCTACTTACCTGTTGTGAAGCCCATATTTGGTCTCCCCTGTCGTAATATTTTTGAAATAATGATAAAAGTGGCATAAAACCAAAATCACTCACTACCAGCCTGACCCTGTCTCTTGTCACCATTTTGTCTTGATCTCAGTGTTCATGTATGTGTGTTTATAAGTAAAGTTTACTTGACTGAAGACGACCATATACAAGGCTCGGACTACGGACAAGTATTTGAAGACCTAGGTTGATGTCAGAATTGATAATGCTTTCATTTATTATTTGTTGTGTCTGTTCAGGGACAAAAGCGTAATACTAGTCACTTACTTCTATGCATGCCTGGTAATGGTAAGAATGGATTGGTGCTATCAATATGCAGGCTGTACTCAATATAAGTTTGTTTTAGATCTAGACAAGTGAATACAGTTAGAATGGCCATTTCTAACACTGTCTAATGTTAGAGTGTCAGAGTATCTGGAATGTCTCACACTGTCTAATGTTAGAGTGTCAGAGTATCTGGAATGTCTAACACTTGTCCCATCTTTCTAGAATATTTGCTTGGCTTCAAATAAACACGGTGGTACAGAGTATCTTGATTGAAACAACGATGTTGAGTATCTGAAATACATACATATAATTGAAAATAAGGTATCTTCTTTTGTCTGTGTTAATATGGTTAATGCACATGTAGTATAAAATGTCTTGTATAATGTTAATATGATAGACATAATAATGTACATTAATTAGATTCCATATATGTTATTGCTCAGAGTTCTATATCATTAACCCGTGAAGATCCGGGTTAGAATTGGTTTTCAGTAACCCATGCTTGTTGTGAGAGGCGACCAATGGGATCGGGTGGTCATTGTACCCCACTTGCTTAAAATGATGCTTAGGATGTTGATCACTAGATTGTCTGGTCCAGACTGGATTATTTACAGCCTGCCACCATATAGCTGGAATATTGCTGAGAGTGGTGTTAAACAACAAACAAACAACAAATCTGGATCATTATGTGATGTGTTTTCTCACAAAGAAGCATGTGATATGTGTATATTTTGATGTTTTTTTGTACTGTTGTCATTGCCGTAATTGTAGGGCAGTCTCATCTATTTGTAAAGGACAAAGTGCACGTGGTATTAATGTTTTGTCATCTGTTGCTCATTTGAAAGGGCAAATTGCTGATTGACATTTTATCAACTCGGCCCCAAGTCAAATTAATGATTCCTGTTAAACATTTCTATCAGTGTCTCAATATTGATGCATCCCAGAAATTTCTGCTAGCATCTCAAGACTTCCCAATTCATTGAGATGATTGTGTCAAGACGTTTTCATGCTCCATAATTTTGCGTTGTATTAATTACAACCAGTTTTGTAAAGCCCATGAAATTGCTAGTATTGAGTCACACTGATCCTGATCAGTTTAATAATAGCCCACATGGCATGAAATAACATGACGAGTCCAGCATTTTGGGGGGCTCCCTTCACCTATAGTAGCTGACTTTCCAGATTCGGATCAAGACTTTCCCTTGTGTCAAAATTATAAGGACAGCACATTATAAATCATCTGATTGCCCATAGGGTACCAGATTAATAGTCAACATTACAAGAAAAGCTTAGTCCGTTTGGACTCATCGTTATCTCAACTAGCCTGAAAGGTCAAGAGAGATTATGTTGTTGCAAGTTGTCAGTGTTCTTAAACTTTTTCATTTACGACTTCTTCTCTGAAATAATTTCATCACTTAGCTGGCTTCTGCTGACATTTTGTGTGGATGTTTGTTACTGGTACCAGTGGTAGGGGCTCAGGTTTGTACAAGGCATTGTAATTGTAGTTTCAATATGGCTTCCAGGTAGCCATCTTGAATTATCAAAATGATGAATGTCCTTTTGAAGACTCAAAGCTGCAACAACTTTGTGCAGGTAAATTTAACTGTTTTGTATTTCAGACTGTTCAATAACAGTACATTCATTCTTCCTATTTATACACATTTTGAAAATTTAGTTTATTTATAAAAATATTTGAAACTGTTGATAAGTACATGATAAGGTGCTGGTGTTGAAACCATTGTTACTGTTGACGACATATCCTGTTGAGCCACAGTGGAGTCTCTCAACCACTCACTCATTCAGTCAACAATGCACTCACAGTCACACAATCAACTGCTCACTTGCTAACTCCCTAACCAGTAGAGGATGTAACGTGTAAACGAGGCGGTCCCACGTTACGAGTACAAGTGACTACCTGAGAGGGGGTCACTCATTCGCGTGACTGCCTGATCACAGACAGTTAACTGGAGCATACCAACCCAACAAATCTGTCAACAGCTCAGTTAGTTATTTGGGAAGTCACTGGATCTGTCATTCATTTGTTCACAAAATGAAACAGTCAGTCAAACATGCTTTCTCACACAATCACTCTTTCAACCAATCGTTCACTCATGCACCCTTTCAAATCAGTCAATCATTGAGAAGTTTACGACTGTAGTTTATTTGACTTTCTAAATCCACTCAGTGACTCAACAAACTAGTCACTCACTCACCCAACTAACCAGTTAAGTAAACAATCCACAAACAAACAGTTAATCAATGCTCATGCTGTTGATCACTGAATTGTCTGGTCCAGACTCAATTATTTACAGATAACCACCATATGGCTGAAAATTGTTGAGTGCAGCATTAAACAAACACAAAACAAACAGTTCACCACTCACTGACTCAACCAAACACACAAGACACACAAACTCAACCATTCAGTCAACCATCAGTCAACCGCTATCACTAACTCCACCGACCTGTCAACCACTCACTGAACTAGCCAGTCAGTTAACCTCTCACTCTCCAAAAGACTCGTGCCCTTTTCAACATTCAGCAGTTCTCCACACATACAGGCAGCATGGCACGAGTATGCGGATTCCACAGGAGGCTTACAGCCTTTAATATGATCCGACTGATGCCAATCAATTAGAGTCTGGCATTATTCCTACATGGTTCATAACTGCATGCTAGCTTGTGTAAGCTGTACTAACAAATCCAGTTTATTCCGTTGAAGGTATCCTGTTGGAAAACCAAGTTCTATGGATAGTCAACTTCTTTATTGCAATGAGTGTGGTGTTTTCGGTGTAGGTACTAAAGTAAGGCCAGAAATGTTTGGAAAATGCTTTTTGGCAATTATTTGATAATGGTTGATCTTTCAGATTCAAAACTCATATATAATCATTCATACCACTTCGACCTAATGTGGCATATGAGTAATCACGATGTACCATTCCCTAATCATAATGATTACTCGTAAAATATTGAAAAACTTACAAAAAATTCCATGGTAGAAACACTTCAAAGAAACAAACTACTAGTATACTGTGACCCACCTGGCAGGCAGACAGGGTGACAGTGTTATGTAACGCACGGGCAGTACATGTCAGGGACCGTCTCAAAATATCAAGTGTCAGTATCACTGCTGGTTGAGGACTCTAACGGAACAGGTGCAACTTGGCTGATGTTAACGCTGTCCCACAGATGGTATTTGTCCTCGATTTTGAGAAGACGGTCTTCAGCCTTTTGCCACACTTCTGGGATAATTCTCGCAAAAGAAGCATACACAAGCTCTTTAATGTCTGAAAGCATGAATGTGGTATCATTGCGAGCAATAAAATTCTTACATTTACCCCAGATCAGCTCGATGGAGTTGTGCACACAGTGCGTACTGGTGTACGCAGAACTATGTGGCCTTGTTTTGCAGCTAGTTTGTCAGTGATGTACTGGATTGGCTTTTTGTGCTGACGGATTTTGTCCATGAGCTGGGGCTTTGTTTCTAATTGCCTGTAAGGCACGTTACAGGAAGTGAGAAAATCCTGCAACTGAGCCTTAAGATTGCTCATGGTTGGTGCGATGGTACCATGGACACAGTGTTAGTACCTATACCAAAACGTCACACTC